GCACTAGGCTGAAAACAAGGGAATGAAATTTAACATCCAAGATAAATTTAGACAATCATCTGTCAAATATACATCGATTTCGATTCCTGCATTAAGCAGGATATTGGACTCAATGGCCTTATAGATCCTTTCTAACTCCATTATTCTATGATACTACATTGCATGTGTTGCAAGACCGTCCTTCCATTCTACTTTGTCCACCACCATGGCTACAAGTAGTAGCATGTGTCTGAGAGAGTCGGATGACTTCTGGGTTTGTGTGTGTTTCTTCTTTATTCCTTGTTCATTCTCTTATTTTCACATTTTACTATTTTTCACAATAACTGTTCATTCTGTTGCTCCTCTCTGCATTTTTTTTTCTTTTCTCCTCTGGCACTATGAGAAGTGCTGTTTAAGTACTATTCTGGCTCTAAAAGGAAAATTCTCCTCTCAGACAAAAGGAAGTGCTTCATTTTTTCTTGGGAGGAACGTACCACCTCAATCTGTAAAGTCTTTCAGTCTTTTCCCAGACAGACTAAATGCAGTTGGAGCACCTCATTAAAATCTTCCTTTTTGGAAGAGACTGTTTCCATCCTTAACATATCTCACTAAAAGGCCCTCCATCTGGAAATCCCTTGGGCTTTTGAAAATGCTCCTTTTACCAACCTTAGCATCATCCACCCCTAGCTTCAACTTCATAGTCAATACCAGCTTCGACACAGGCTATAGAAGAGGTTGGCATCTTCATACCTCCCCAAAGAAGAGAAGCAAATTTTGGAGCCAAACATTCCAGATCTATTACAGTCAACTCTACAAAGGTAGAAGTGATATCAGTTATCTGATTGATCAGATATAATCTGAATCTTCCATTCCTATCCCAGTTCCACAACAATCTCAACTCAATATAACTCAACTCTTTGTTTATCAGAGGTTGAGATGCAAGAAGAATCGTCACAAATAAACCCATCAAGCAAGCTGTGCATATCTGAACTAAATTGTTCGTGGCAGCAATCCACATTAGGTATGCCAGCTGCAAGACAGAAAAAACACCTCATAATTATGCCACTTGTCTCAAGAGCCTCAAAAAAGAGGGAGTATTACAAGGATTCTTGGTGTCAAGCATAGCAATCCTGTTCTCACTGTCAATCTCGATATCATTGAGTGTGTTCCATCTCTTCTCAACATCTATATTATCCATCTCCATATCATGACCCATACCAGGGCTCTGCTATTTAGTCCTCAGATACTCACATCAGTACCATCTTCCACTGTACCTCACTTCTAGACAAAGAAGTGTCTGCTAATATAGCAACTATGTCAGTTTGGAGTTCCATATTTTCCATCTTTTCAATGGTATTAAAGGTAGCACATCTTTTAATTCTAGTTTTGGTATCATCAAGACTTTAAATAACTGGTTATATCTCGAAATGGTCCCAGTATGGAGGAACACAATTTGTATAATTGTTTTCGCTGCTTTGTGTTATAAGATGTTCTTAGGTTTGTATGTTTTTTGTTTTATGATTTTTAGTTATAAAACATTTAAAAAGACTTTGTTCTTCTTGGTACCGCCCTTTATATTTGGTACCAACCACAAGACCCATCTACATTCTAGTTTTTTTCAGAGATTCAGCTATCTCTGTGATTCTTCATCATGCAGGTAGTTTTGGCAACTCTGATTACGCTGGTCTACAGCCAAAATGCTTCTGAAATAAATATAGTCAAACTACTAATTCTGGTTCACTGAGAATGAAAATGATGCTTTAAATTGTTGATTGGCTCTAGTTTTCAAGATATGTGACTGGGTCAGTAAATACGACCCTTGACTTGGGAATAGTAGATGATAAAGGAAAGGGATCTCAGTTTAAACCAGAAATAACTATAATACATCTTTGACTGGATCGATAAATAAGTCTATGACTGGGTTTGGACAATATTTGCTTTTTAGGCAAAATAATGAATAATACAATCTGAAGCTGGTACTGTGGTGTTCATGATATGAATTGAACCACATTATTCCTAATGAAGCTTACATCACTCTGCTGGAAAAATTACTCTAGAAATCATACAGTGCCATGCTCTCTTATTTGTCAGTTTTTGATTTTGCAAAAGGTCACTTTTGTCAAGGCCATGGACAAAACACAAGCAGCTGTCAAGTATCTCCATGGAAGATTTCCAAGGTTAAATGTATCTATTGCCAGCTAGTGGCAATAAATTTTCTCAGAAACAACAAGGCGGACAACTACAGGTTGTTGGTGGAAAACCTCCTCAAGGCATAAAACAGTCTTGGTTGCAACATGTCACCAAAGATACATTTTTTGCAGTCTCACCTGGATTTCCCACCACCACCAAACTGCAGAGCGGTGAACAACAAGCATGGTGAGTGATTTCGCCAGGACATTGAAACATTGGAGAAACGCTATTAGGGCAAATGGAGCCCATCAGTGCTTGCCGACTATTGCTGGACAGTGACAAGAGATGCTCTGTTTAATGAATGAATACAATAGAAGTCAAGAAACTCCAAGTAGACACTGAATAGAACGAAAATATGTACATAATAGTTGTTTTCCTTTTGATTCATAATAAATTTTATTTATATAACCTTTTTGCTGATTTTGAAAGTGTTACATAAACAAGAGAAGTGAAATATTATCGTGGGAAGCAACCATGAAAAAACATAGGTTTACAATTTATGATTCAAACTCTACTATCTACACAATATACATATACATAAAATGTAACATACTGTATCTTGGAAACAGTAGCTAATCAGCTGGTTTAACTGTCATATTTGAATTCAGCACATCAAAATACATAATAGCAAATTTTGTCTCTGAAGCAGATGACTTCTAAAAAAATTGTGGACCAATGTTATGGCTATGCCATCTCCATTGTCTCCATCATCACACACAGTAATCCAACGCGCGCGCGCCCGCATAGGGAGAACTCCAGTGAATAAATAATCCCTCACCACCCTGCTTCACATTGTGAATCGAATGTGGTTTCTGCACTCTATGTTACTTTGTTGTTGCACTCTGAATTGGATCCACTTCTTGGAAATCAAGATCATCCTTCACTGCCAGAAGACTACTAGTGCAAAGCCAATCTACTGGTTCATGTGGTGAGGTGCCTACAGATTCCTTCTCAGCATGTTTCCTGAAGACACTGTGTGCCACTCCTGATACAGTCTTTTCTGCTAAAGACCAACAAAACTATTTGGCTCAAATGGATTGGAGTCACTCTGGAGGATTTATATGACTTTCTGTCTCCAACTCTGCCACTGAAAAGAATTCTTTGTCCACGCAACCAGACAAGGATGGCTGACATATAGATCTTTGCCATGGGCACTGACATAAACGTAAAGATTGCCAACCAGTAAGCCTGTTTAGTAAAATACCAGTGGTTTCTTTGAAAGAAACAAGCCAACCTGATGGAATTATGACCTGAAGATAAAAAAAGATTATTTGTGTGTTTTCTAGAGAAACTGACAGCATCTCCCAACAGCAAGTTAAATCAGCCAGATTCACTGCAGAATGCACATCAGAAGCTTTAATTAGGCACTATTACTTTTATAACAATCATCATGTGCTATCAAGTCAATTCTGACTTATAGTGACTTTTTTCAGGGATCTCCAGGTAGACAATACTCAGAAGTAGTTTACCATTCCCTTCTTCTGGGGGCAATGTAGCACTCAAAACTCCCAGTTACCACTATGTCACCTGAAATTTTGAACTGAGGGATATGCTTCTAATGCATGCATTCATTCTACATAGGGGAGGTGGGGCTACTACCACCATTCTCTCTGTCTGAACCATAGCCCTGCATAGGTGCAGACTCTTACATCTGATTGTACAAGATGACCACTTGAGAAACAAATGTCACACATGAGCAGCCTGGTTTTGTCCAGGTAGCAATTCTATGTTGAACACTTGCAGATTAGGCAAAGAGGAGAGTAGGGTATACTGAAACTTTAATGCAGCTCTGTTGGAGTTCAAGGAGGACACCTGTTGGTTATCTGGAGGACTGATGTAGAAATGCACAGAGAGATATAGAGGGTGAAATGTGACTTTAGTTTAAACTTTAAAAGTCCTTGGCTATCTATGTATCTATCTACATATCTGTCTATCCATCTGTTTATATTATTTATTTATTAAACTTACATACCATCTAGAATGTGTCTACTCTGGGCAGTTTACATTAAACAGAAAAAAATAAACTAAATGTAAAATCCAAATTAATCACAGAGTCCAAGATGGAAAAAGAGGGAAATACGGAAAGAAATAGGCTAGGGACTACAGCTATCGCTAGGCGATAGCTATAGGGAAGGCCTGCCTGTATAGTCATGTCTTCAGGTTGGTCTTGAAGGCCCTCAGTGAGGAGGCCAGGCAGATCTCTGCAGCTTATTCCAGAGATGAGGGGCCACTGTCAAGAAGGCCCCATTTTTAGTTTTTTCCCTTCGGACCTCTCTTGGTGTTAGGCCCCTCAGCCTCCTGACCTGACTGGAACAGGTTGGTTGGTTGGTCAGTCTGTCTGTCTGTCACTGAGCCTCATGGTGCTGTACTGCAGCAAAACTGTGCTCACGACCTGGGGTTCAATCCCAGGGGTTTAAGCCAGCTCAAGGTTGACTCAGCCTTCTGTCCTTCCGAGGTCAGTAAAGTGAGTACCCAACTCACTGGCGCAATGTGCAGCCTGCATAATTAACTTGTAAACCGCCCAGAGAGTGATTGAAATGCTATGGGGCGGTATATAAGCAGCACCTTTTGCTTTTGCTTCATCTATCTATCTGTCAGATTTCTGCCCTGCCATGGCTTACAACCAAATTTATACATGAAACAAAAACATCAAAGAAGAAAAACATTTCTACAGGCCACCTACATCACAAATACATGAGCACAAATCCCAAGATGACCTATCTATACTAGGTATACTTATTAATATTGTAAGATTAATATTGTAATATTGTAAGATTTTACAAAATCTATAACTATTAACTTTTCTAACTATTTTCATTTATGATCTGTAGAAAAAGAAAAAAGGGAAAAAGGGTGGAAGGAAGAAAAAGCCTAAGAAGGAGAAAGATCTGACTCCTGACAGGTAATAATGTTCCTGTTGCTCTGGAAAGTTATATTGATATTTCTTTCCCTCTCCCTTTAAGGCTTTGTTCAAACACAAAAAAGAGTCAGAGTTAGTATACATAAGCCTGAACCTGGTAGTGGCAGTTCTGTAGCAATTATGGAGAATCTAACATAGGATTCTTTTTAAATTGTTATAATACATAAAGAAATTTCAGTTATGTCAGTTGTCATTTTGAGGAATGTTCATCGCATTCTGGGTACCCTGGACTTAATTTTTTTTTTTTTACAATTATCATTAAATGTTGTTCCTTGTGACACATGTAAAAATACTTGGTTGGTTCAGACATGTCATTTTCCCCTAATATATAATACTTGTCAGTTCTTCTGTGTTCAAACAAAACAGAATTTTTCCCTGAACAAAACAAACCATGCAGTCTCTTAAATAGCATAAATCTTTGCTGCTGTTGTGTAAACTGCTGAACCTTGGACTGAGTGTGAGAGATTTAGGGTAGGTAATATGGACAGGCAGTCTGGGACAGTGTTCTAGTGAATGCAGGACTCTCAAGGTCACAGTCCTAGGATTTTTGATTAGCAAGGATAATGATGGTATCTCCCACCTCTCTCAGGGCGAGAGAGAAGTATTCACAGTAGCTGAGAGAGAAATGGGTTTCCTTAATGATAATGTATTGTTGTAATGTAAACCAGGGTCCCCTACCCCCGGTCTGCGGCTTGATGTCAGTCCATGGCCATGGCGGAGACAGTTCCCCACACCATGCATGGACTTCCCCCATGCACCCCACCTGCATGCACAGGTGCCCTGCCCGTCTGTGAGCATGCCCTGTGCATGTGCGCAAGCACACCCAGGCCTCTGCACATGTGCATTGGATTATGGTAAGGGGGTGTTGGTGGGGGGGTGGCAGCAGCATGGTGCTGGGTGGTAGCAGTGAGCGGTGGCAGTGGCAGCGGGGGCAGGGGTGTATTTTTTAAGAAAGCCCCCCACGAATCCACTAATAACTTTGCTATTTGTCACTTCATGGGGGCAACTTTGTGCTTCATGCTGTATTATATATCTAATTATGTATCTTTGTGTAGGACCATTGATTCTCTCTACCAGGAACTAGTAGAAGAAAGGATATTGATAAAAGCAATGAAAGTGAAGCTTGGCGATTATATAGGTAAAGTATAAAATCTATATATCAGAACATAACTACATTTTGACCTAATTTGGAGTTTTATATTTACAAGATTATGGAATCTGATGTATATCAGAGGTAGAGCGGGCTATGAACAAACAGCCTCACCATTCATTCTAATGCTATGTGATACTTTGTGCCCCCACCTGTATATTGTTGTTTATGCATTATGTGTAGGTAGACAAATTGGTCATATGCTTGATAAAACAAATGGGTTGAGTCAAGTGAAAGGTGAGTGACTATTGAAAGAGAGGAAGTACTTCTATAGAACCTTTTTTTGTTATTGTTTTTTGCAGGCCCAAAGGATGGTGGTAGAGTGTATGTAAGAATAAGTGAGTATTTGATTTGAATAGAGATAGGGAGTGGCGCACAGTATGACTAAATTATATGATGGTAGAAAGATAATTTTAGGATTAGATTAGATTTAGGTTAAATAAGAGGCTGTATTTGTACTGTTTTTGTTGTTTGTCATTCCAGCTCTTTGCAACCCAATGTTTAATTTTAATAAAAGATTTATTGTACATTAAATATTTCTCTTTTTTCTGGTAGTGATTATAATACAGTATAAACACCATGATGGGTGTTTATATGTTGTCCAAGAGGGAAAACAAAGGGAAGAAAAATATATCTTTGAAAAGATTTCTGGTTTAAGAACTAGTGGTACCAACATTACTGAAGGGTTTGTGTTTCAACTAAAGGCTTTACCAAAGGTGTTTCTCAGAGGGGAGGTGAGTCTGAAGAATGTGTTGCAGTGTTTAGACTTTCTGGCTAATCCCTCTAACTGCACAGCAGAAGTGCTGGAACTCACAGAGCAGAGTAGCTTCCCCAGAGTTGGCCACCCCTTTTGTCTCATCTACTAGCTTCTACAGAGCTGACACCATTTTGTCTCAACTGGCTTCTACATTCTGGGACATTAATAAGAGGAAAAATAAAAAGATTCATTTAAACACAGTTGAACAAATCAAACAGCATACTGAACAAACATTACTGCTTTCAACATCAGGCCTCAACAGACTCATTGCTGATTTTTCCAACAGACTCTCAGACCACATACACTACACTAACTGCCAACCGATTAAAAGATAAAGAAGAGACTCAGAGCAGATAGGCAAGGCTGTCTTAGAATCAGGCAGGGAAGGTATAATTGATTAAAGCTGGATTGACTGATAGTTACCCCAGCCCAGAAAGATCCCTCCCAGTCAAACGTACTAAAGGCAGCATGCAAAGCTGCTGAAACACCAACAGAAATGAAGGTTATGTGAGCTTTTAGCAGATCCAAAGAAACAGTGGCCAAAGGCTGAAAGGGAGGCAGTAGTGTGCCACCCCAAATCTGTTGGCATGGGACCAACTCCAGAGGCTTGATATGGCGTATTGCCTCTCCTGAAACTTGGAGTCAGTTTCAGATAATGAAGCTTCCAAGAGCACTCTGTTAGGGAAAACAAACCATGGAGACCAAGATAACAAGTTACACAGTCTCTTATCTGGTAGCTTCAAATCTTCCCCTTATTAAGCAGAGTAAAGATGTGGACGTATAAGAAAATGCATGGACAAAGTTCTAATAATACTTATAGCACAATATATTAGACTTGGTCAGACATATATTCATTGGTATAGATATCCCAGAGCAACAAAACATTCACATTTTCAAGTAAAGTAATGACCACCAGACTCACAACTGAGTGGCAAAGTGCTGTTCTCACTCACTTGCTTAAATAGTGAGAGCAGCCTATCACTGCAGACATGGCAGCTGAACATGTTTAACGAGCATCACCTAATCTTGTCCCATCTGTATGTTATCAGTCATTCATTGACTTGACGTTACAGGCATGACGTTGCATTCTCACTACAATATTAAATTTAACCCCTTGTTCACTTAAAGGAACAAATCCTGACAAAATCAGAAGATTTTGACCTCTGAGAGTGTAAATTAGAAGGAAGGGATGTGGCATTTGAAGGTAGAGAGGCTGCAGATTCATTTAAATAAACTTTAACAGAAGAAAACAATAAACCCCTGTCCAATAAGGAAAGTAAGAACTGTGTAACTTTGTAAAAAAAAAAAAAAACACCACTTGTTGTAACTGAAGGCATTATCATTAGCAAAGGTGTAGAAAGTCTGCCATTTGTAGTTGTAGAAGTTGTATATGGATGGGTTTCTTAGTGTTAATAATCTGAATTAGCCTATTTACAACCAGATCATCCACAGTGGGAGCTTGCATGTAGAGATGTCAGGATGAAGAATTGGTGTCAGTTTCCTATAGGTGACATTGGGAACCACTCTTCTAAGTACAGTAGGGTCTTGACTTAAGAACGGCTCGAGTTAAGAACATTTTGACTTAAGAACCACTCTCATAGGAAAATATTGACTTGACTTAGATTTGAGTTAAGAACTGAAAAAAACCTACGTGGGAGGCAGGGAAAGTGCAATATTTGAACTTTCAGTTAACTGTTGGCCAGTGAAAAGGGTGCCTGTCTGCTCCTCACTCCTCCCAGCGTTTAGAGCGTGGATTGGGAGACAGTCTTCAGACTGCCTGGTACCGCCTGGACTGTATTTTCCCTGCCTTCCCTGCACCTTTCTTGACCTAAGAAAAAAAGAAACAAAATATCCCCCTCTAGTGGTCGAAGGCGGAATAGCAGCTTCCCATTAGTTTCTATGGACGGAAAAGAGCAGATACGGATCAAATGGTTTTCAATGCATTCCTATGGGAAATGCAGATTTGACCTGAGAACTTTTTGACTTGAGAACCGCCTTCCAATACGGATTAAGTTCTCAAGTCAAGACCCCACTGTAAATCTAGGTATCAAATAGTAACACATTGGCTGAAATCCTGTTGGTATAAATGCATGCCATGCAACTGTCATGATGTCTGTAATTTAATTAAAAACTTCTTATCCCTCTCTTCAGGTTCCAAGGCTCTCTAAGACTCCTTTGGGAGCCTTGGAATGTGGGTGTGTCCTCAGTATCAGAAAACTGCCATCTGATTGGGAGTTTTTAATTGAATTTAATTAAAGACATCATTTGGCTCATGTGGCTTTAACACCACATGATTTCAGCCAGTGTCACATTGCAGAGTGTTCTTGCCCAGAGTGCTCATGCTCTGCTATGTCCTTTTCTGGAATTCTCTAGCTCTTCCCATCAGTCAACATTTTGTGCAAACTTAGCTGTGTCGAGGAGATCTCCCCTTCTGGGGGTCTCTCCCCCTCGAAGTTTTTTATACTTTAAAAATATTGGTTTTCTTAAAGCCTTACATCTTTACATCTAGCTGGTGCTGTTTTCGGTATTGGGTCAAGATGGGCAATACCAAAATCAGATTGATGATGTTCTCTGCAGCCAAAGAACGGGAAGCTCTATACAGTCAGCAAAAACAAGACCTGGAGCTGATTGTGGCTCTGATCA